GGGGGTCTATCCCAGCTCCACCTCTATGGAAGATGCTTCCTTACGGGAGTCTGGTGGGGGTGCCAGTCAGTAAGTGTGATTTCACGCTTTCTGGATGACCCCAAAGTTTCCACTGTATCTGTCCACCCTAGGGCCTGTGCATCATTGCGGCGGCTTTGTTTTGGTTGCAGAGCAGGGGTACAGAGCCACACTTCTTTTCTGAACAAAACTGGGGCACCTCCTGTCTGCAGATAGTGTTTCTGTTGGTACATGTGGAATTGATTATTGAAAATATATGAAGAGTATTGGAGGAAAACACTAAGGTCTCTGGGCCTCTTGAGGGTACCCGGAACCTGTGATTTCCCTTTGAACCTCAAAGGGGCAGGAGAACACGTGAATCACCACCGCTGTGGGCATCGCCCTAGGAGATGTGGCTGTGGGCAGAGGGGCACAGCAGTGTCAGGCTGCAGCCCTGTAGAGGAAGCCAGGGGAGGCAATGTCTATGCCCACTTTACTCTTACCTTGGCCCCTCATGTTGGCACCTCCCATTGGCCAAGCTCCTCAAGAGGCCTGAGGAAAGGGTACTTGGCTGCTGAGAGAGCAATGGGAACAGCTAAAGAATGGAAAGGAAGGTAGATGATCCCAGCACCTGAGTGCCACAAATGCTCGTTCTGGTCGCCTGGATTGTCACCCTTTTGTCCCGAGACTTCCCTGTTGTCTGGAGTGGCCCGTATACAGTAAAGTAGAGGAATAGGTGATCAGAATACATCAGAGGGAATGCGAGAATCCACGCACCAGGCTCACCTGTATAACCAGCTCTCTGTCCCTACGTATTGCAGATCCCAGAGCCGCACCCACTGAAGTTAAAATCCGAGTCATGAACAGCACAGCCATCAGCCTTCAGTGGAACCGGGTCTACTCTGACACGGTCCAAGGCCAGCTCAGAGAATACCGAGTGAGGAGGCCAGCCCCCAGCCCCACCTAACCACCTGCTCGCTAACCAGGGCACGGGGCAGCAGCCGCGTGTGTAGGGGATCTGGGAGGGACCCTAGGAATGCTCATGGGTCTAAAGTTGATTCAAGATGCTTTCTGGAGTTCAAAATTACCCAGTGGGGCGCATATGCATGCATACATATAATTATGTATATTTTTCATATGTTCATGTTTCACCTAGCAACAGGGGCGTATTCTGAGAAACGCATCATTAGGCAGTTTTGTCATTGTGCCAGCATCGTGGTGTGTACCGAAACAAACCTAGGTGATACAAGCCAGGGCCTCCGCATGGCTGCTTACTGCAGTCAACACACACAGAGAGCTTAAGCTGTGTGAGGCCTTTGCCAATGTGACACTGAAAACCGCTTTTACAGTGGGCTGCATTTTTAAAATAAGATAAAGTCTAAAGTAGGGCCTAGGGGCATAGCTCAGTGGTAGGGTACCCGCCTAATATTCATGAACCTGGGTTCGATTCCCGGCATTACACTGGCAGAATGAGAGTATCCAGTAAACGCGAAGGGTAGAGAATATTTGTTACAAATGTGTAAAGCAGTAACCTAGTGATGTTCCTTACTGAGCAGTCCAATCATATTGCTTTGATTTTGTGATTGGCAGCCCAGTAGACCTGTTTATGCAACATCACTACACATATAGGGTAATATGACAGACATTATGATGGCTACAGCACCATCACTGGGTGAAAGAATCTTATTCACGGTCCCTTGCTGGCAGAGCATCACACAGCTCGTGACTGCATGAACACACGTGGTGCACTGAAGGTCCCGTCCAGCTGGACCTCCTTAGGAGGGTGCTGGGTTTGAGCTGGTACTGTAGAACACATGTGTTTGGTGTGCATGTTTGGACAAACATGTGTATCTTCGTGTGCCTCACTGAAGTACCTCTGAGCTACAACCTTTCCCTCAGAGACCCCTGCTGAGCTGTTTGCTTCCCCGACCTGGTTCCAGAAAACCACACTAACAGGCAAAGCCACTGAAGGGCTATAAGCTGTCTCCCTTCGGCCGCAACCAACTCTGCTACCCGACACAGATTCCGAAGGCCCTGGCCTCTTGTGTTTTCGGCCTAGGAGCAGTTTCTGTCGAGTCGTGTGTCCTCAGAGGGCTGGGCTGAGGTTGAGGGAGCAATGGTAGGATTTTCCCTCAGGAGGGTAGCTGCGTTTCAGCTGGCTGGCAGTGAGGACGATATAGCCATGGGTTCCCACTGGGTCTGTGACTTCTGAGGTCATCAAGAGTTGGCTGATGGACAGCTGGGGACAGACAGAAGGGGTCAATCCCTTATTGGGAAAGGAACTTGGCAGCGAACTAAAGAAAAGAAGGCCAAGTGCCCCTGACCTAGCTCCTCCCCAACAGTTAACTTTTAACCTTTAACCTACCAACCTGGAAAGTTTTCTTACTGAAGTACTTACCAAAGTTCCGCAAGTCTGGACTTCCTCGCCACTCTGCTGGTGACGCTGCTGGGGCAAATTGTCCTGTGGTTTCTCACCCACTGCTAATAAGACCTTCATTATACCCTTCGCCTCTGCCACCCTCCAAGGCCACCCTTCCCATCCAAGCTCTGCTGCACAGCCCTGTGCCCCAACTTAACTTGGACATGTATCTGCCGTCTCTAAAGATCTTCAACCGTATATAAATCATTTGGCTTCGGAGAATTAAACCAACTGCTGCCCGTACTCCGACTGTTCGGAACAGCCTGCTTCTTGCATGCCCACCTGCAGCCTCACTACACTTTACTAATCCAACTGAAACTGAGGTGGCCTTTGAGTTTTCTGCGCCAGGATCCCTGATTCACATTTGTGGTTCTGGCATGGACTCTCCCCGTGCAGTGCGTTACCCGACTGGGACATAGTCTCCAAAGAGGTGGCATGCAGCGTGTTACCCAGCTGGGACATAGTCTCCAAAGAGGTGGCATGGCTCCAAAAATGAGTGAAACCACACTCCTGTTTCAGGTTCAGCATCATTCTCTTCATGAGTGGCTAATGAATGAGGACTGTAAGGCTCTCCCCCTGCCTCAGCCTGTATGGGGCGGATGAGATCTTTTGAGACTGGGAGACTGTAGTAAGCAAAGGGAGGACCAGTCACTACCACCACTAACCACTAACCTGGCCTTGCTGCCTGGCTCCTCACCAGCCTGCCTCTGTCTCAAAGGCTTACTACTGGAGGGAAAGCAGCTTGCTGAAGAACCTGTGGGTGTCTCAGAAGAGACAGCAGGCCAGCTTCCCTGGTGACCGCCCCCGGGGCGTGGTGGCTCGCCTCTTCCCCTACAGTAACTACAAGCTGGAGATGGTTGTGGTCAACGGGAGAGGTGATGGGCCTCGCAGTGAGACCAAGGAATTCACCACCCCAGAAGGAGGTAGGTTGGACCTGCAGCTCCTCAAGGTGGGGTAGGATGAGGGTAGTGTCACCGGTGAGCCTGGAGCAGCACCAGCGTGGTTTGGCACAACAGCCTGGGTGACCTCAGCAAGCTGATGACCATCACCAAGGTGGCCCATCCTTACTGAAACTTGTGTCTCAAGAGATCCGTGTGGTGTGCCAATGCGTTCCAGACACAGGCTGCTCAGACTGACCCCAGCACCTTCTCTGAGGCGAAGGTCACACGTGCACCTGGCCACCTTGATGTCCTGTGTACCAGCACCCAAGACTTGTACAAGCCTCCCCTCAGCATCAAGAAACACTCTCGGGAAGTTGGCCTGTGTGTCCGAAGTACTGCCAAGTGTCACCCACCCTTCTGTGGGTTTATGGTTTGAGCTAGCCCTGTGGCCCAGACATCTACAAAGTTCTAGTCACATCTTGGTTCCCCAAAGGCTCTTTTATCCACTTAGCGTGAGCTTTGCCTTCTGTTTCGCCTCCCTCCCTCCTTAACTGTTTCCATTTTTCTTCTTCTCTTCTCTTTCTCTTCTCCTTTGTTCTTCCCTCTTGTTTTCTTTATCCCTGTCTCTCCTTCCTCAGTTTGGTTCCTGTCATCAACCTCTCCCTATCACTCCCACCCTTTTCTGGGTGCTCCATCCTGAGTCTCTCTCTCCTCCCCCAGAGAACCCATATTCCCAGCTCAGAAGCTGGAGCCTGCTGCTGCACCCAGTGGTGAGAGCCCTTGGCTGGGGATTGAGAACTGCACCCTTGCCACAAGACAGTTATGGTTGGTTCCCTGCCTGGGAGCGGCTCTATGATTTGGAGTTATATTTGCAGGGTTGAAGCAGCCTAGAGTGTGCTAAGTCCAGGGTAGTTGCTAAAGGAAAACCCATTTGACGTCTTTCCCCCACCTCATCAGCAGTATCTGAGCCCCCTTGGCTTCATACCAGGTGAAAATACCTGCCAGGCAGGCAGCAGGCTCTGCCCTCAAGGTTCTAGGGCCTGGTTCAGCAGTGGTCCCCCACAGGGATACCTGAGGTCATGCCTTCATGCCTGTGTTTTGTTTTCTGTGTTCTCCTCATCCTCCCTGCCCTCATCTCCTGGCTCCCTCCTCCTTACCCAAGTACCCAGTGCCCCAAGGCGTTTCAGAGTCCGGCAGCCCAACCTGGAGACCATCAACCTGGAGTGGGATCACCCGGAGCACCCCAACGGAATCCTGATTGGATACACTCTCAAATACGTGGCCTGTATGTTCTGCCTTTTTGCTTTTTTTTTTTTCTTCTCAATCAGATGTAATGGCAAACCCTTTCTCACCATTTTCTTGTGGGATGGAGATTGGAAGCCTCCATCCATTGGATGGGTGCAGAAGGCATAGGGGTGAGAGTACCAAGGAAAAGTTCCCGGTCATTAAAGAGGGCAGGCAAGACTCAATCCCTGCTCTTCTTACACAGCTCCTTCTGCAGGAGGGAGACAAAGCATCCTCTGGTCCATTGAGAGAGACCATCCCAACCCTCAGAGAGCTTGTAGTCTCCAGCATCGACAAGTCTAAGGAAGAGAGTCCCTCCCCCACTGGCATTTTCATCTTAAGGGCAGACAGTGTATGCACAGGCATCCAAGGATGCTCAGAGACACTGTAAGCAGGCTTCCTTTGGTAAGGTAGTCTGTCAGACTACTGTGGGATGATTTGAACTGGGGGCCTGGGTCAGGAAGTCCTTACCACGAGAGCTCAGGATCTCCAGGTGGAACAGGAATGTCCTCACACTTCAAGACCGTTAGCTGTGGGCAGTGCTGCCCCTCACTGGGAAGCTCAAAGGGCCAGGTGACTTGTTGTTGACACTTTAACAACCTTCCTGGGCCTTCCCTGCTGTTCTGAATTGATCTCTGGACCTGACCCTTTTGAAGACGGTGGCCTTTTACAAATAAGGCAATAGCATTCAAAAGCCCTGGGAACTTTTCCCAGTCCTGTTTGAACAGAAGAATTCCAGAGATTTGACCTTGTCAGAGGGCTTGGGAAGTGTAACTGGGTCTTTCAGAATTGACCACGTGACTTTCAGGAAGCTAGAGACAGGGACTCTGGGACAATGGAAGTGCCTCAGTGCTTCCATGGGGAGGGAGCCTGTGCCCAGTCCCCTGACAGAAACTCCAGAAACTTCTCAATCCACCACTTCTAAAACCCATGCAGCTACTAAACCTTCCACTTGCCTCTCTCTCCAGTTAACGGAACCAAACTGGGAAAGCAGCTGGTGGAAAACTTCTCTCCCAACCAGACTAAGTTCTCGGTGCAGAGGGCAGACCCTGTGTCTCGCTACCGCTTCTCCCTCAGTGCCAGGACGCAGGTGGGCTCTGGAGAAGCTGCCACAGAGGAGACCCCGGCACCTCCGAATGAAGGTAGGTCCGTGGTGACCGCCCTTGAGGGGAAAGGCCCTCAGAAACATCAGAAGCTGGGTTTGACCTTCCAGGATGGAGAGGAAGTGAGGCCACAAACCCTCAGCCCCGCCCACCGCAGGAGGTGGCCTGTCTTGGCTGCTGAGAGATGGGTATCAGTACTGTATCTGGAAGAGTCATCACTCTTAGACATGCAGGCAGATCTTGCCCTCCACTCTGCCATGACTTGCTCAGCTACTTAGCGTCAACCGTCTGTCCTCGTAGGGAAGGACATAGGAAAAGGTCTGGGGAAACATGAGAAATAACTGTTCTAATAAACTCCGAAGAGGCAAACAGCTCATCCACTGAGGGAGGCAAGAATGTAATTGAGCGTCCTTTTGCCAAGGGCATAAAGGGCCAAGGAGACAGGACGAAGGGGAGTGATCAAAGTTGCTTCACAAGATTAAGAGTAGATCGGGAAATATGCTCTCCCCTTGCAGCCTGAATAAGGTGAGGTGTCTGGCTGCAGAGAAGTAGAAGCTGGTACAACCCTTTGCCAAGCCAGCTTCACAAAGAGTAAGTGAACTGATACCCTAAGTCAAGGCAAGTCCCCGCCGCTAAGATCCCTCTCCAGAGCGGCACCTGACTTAATCATACACTAGAGGGCACTCTTGGCTCACTTGCATGTATGCTGGCTTCAGCGTAACCTGCAGAAGCCTTAAAACTTTGGCAGCTCCTTGTAAAATGGTGGGGGACCCGCTTGCTGACTCTCTAGAAGTACAGTGGTCTATGTAACAACCATTTCTTGAGCACCCACCCACATGTATCACGCCAGACACTGTACCAGAAGCAAGGAACATAATGGTAATAAAATTTCACAAAGTCTAGAGACTTCTACAAGAATGTCTGATTGTCTGTCTGTCCTAATGAAGGTGCTGCCATGGACAGGAAGTTTAGGGGGATTTAATATGCAAGGGAGAGATCAAACACGAGGTAATATGAACAGGCATGCCTGGGATTACCGCATGATCGAGACTCATACTTGCCTCCCGGGAGGCTCGGGGTCCTATGGTCTGATCCCGACCCATATAGGGTCTTCTGATCAAAGGCAAGCATTGTTTTTCCCAAGAGGGGCACCAGGCCATACTACCTCAGCAGCCCTGAGTTCCTCTGGCCAGCAGGCCAGCACCTAGGCAGAAGCTAGAGGACTGCCGGTCCCCAGTGTCCCTCTCTGGTCTCCTAGGTCAGGAGTAGTCACACAACACACTCCCAATCCTGGTGTCCTCTTCCAAACTTCTGACACACAGGAAGTTGGGTAGGGCTGGTGGACTTCAGGTAAGTATCTGGTTGGATCTGTTGCCAGAGACTGCCTGGCTATGGCACATTCTCTATAGTTCTAGAGATGCAGAAAACCTCTCTGCCCAGCACAGGACAGAAGACAAAGCCTTTGCCCAACTTCAGTGACCATGATGAGGAGAATCCTGCAACTTCAGGGGGCAAGAGAACAGAGATGTTTTGGAATTTATGGAAATCTTCCGAGATTTGTTTCAGAACTCTTGGTCAAATTTGGGTTCCTATTTTCATGAAGTACAATTACGGGGGAAGATTGGGGTCGTGGGAAGCCAGGCTTTCAGAGTCCATTATACTTTGAAAGTCTGAAATGGGGGTGGCTGTAGCACAATTAATAAAATCCCAGAGACAGATAATGGGGTTCAACCTGAAGGTCAGAAAAGCAAAACATCCAGCCACTGGTTCTTACCTCTATCTCAGTCCGAAATGGCCATCCTGCCTTCAGAAATCTCAGAATGAGGCTGTGTCTGAAAGCTGTCTCCTCCCAGTTTATATTCCTCTCTAGTCCTGGGGATTAAAGGCATACAACTCTACCGCCTGGTTTCTATGGCAGACTAGTGTGGCTACTGGGATTAAAGGTGTGTGTCACCACTGCCTGGCCTATAAGGCTGACCAGGGTGGCTGTTTTACTCTCTGATCTTCAGGTAGGCTTTATTTAGTACAATACAAATGTAATATCACTACGGATGACCCCCTCCCCCGCTACTGCCCAGCGTCTTACTGTGAAGGTGCAGAGGCTATCTTTGTGCCTAGCTGGTTGCTCGTGCACCACCTACATCTACGTCCTCAATTCCTAGCATCTTAGGGGGTCACTTAACCCAGGCAGCACGGGACACACCCTTGGAAAAGGAGCTGGAAATACAACATTTCACTTGACCTGTGCCTCCAGCCAACTCTTACATGGCAAATCCTTGAATATGGGTAGAGGTATGATGTATTAGAAAGGTCTCTAGGCCCCAGGTGAATAATAAGGAACCCATCCAACTCCAATTGAGCTGAGCATGACTCCCCGAGCACTATTTAGCATCCTCAGGATGATTGCAACTATTCATAGTGATAGCGCTGGAGTCAGGGTTGAGCCAGACCCTTTCTGTGCTGTCTTCTGTGGTTTCACCTATGCTGTTTTCTCTTCCCTCTCATCCTCTCCCCCTCCCTCCCTCTCTCTCTCTCTCTGGCCGTCTTGGGTGCTGTGTCTGAAGCTACTCCAACTGCAGGTATTGTACCAGCAACAGAGGTAACGGACACGGCATGGGGCAGTGCAGATGGAGCCCATGCTGGCCAGAGCCCAGCCAGAGGCAGTGGCTCGTGCTGAAAGCATGCTCCAGCCTCACCCTTTCAGTGGAGAAGCCAGGCTTGGAAGGAAGGTGTCTAGAGAACGTTGGCTAGCGGAGGTGACCATGCTCCCTCCTTTCACGTAATGCATGCCCCTACTAAGGAGACTGGCTTGGAAGGGGTCTCGTATGTAGATTACCTATTGTGGCCACCTGAGCCTTGCTGGACCTGCCATCTCTGAGCCTATCGATAGCTCTAGAAGACGTACTATAGTGGGAACAGCTGGCTCCTGGCCCTGATGGTGCCACAGTTCCCTGAAAGGGTGAGCACACGCTGCATGCTAGCCTTGCATGCTGCATGGGGGGGGGGGGGGACCCAGCGCCATTCCACCAGCTAGCATATGTTCTGGTCAGTGAGAATAAGCGAGCATGTCTGTGAGTAAGACAGGCTCCAGGACCTGGAGTCTCACCGGGTGTCAGGGACTGAAGATTTCCTTGACCCAGAAACTCAGCTTCTCAGTATTTGGTGTAGAGAGAGACCTCTCCTTTGGGGTCAGGACCCTGCAGTCCTCATGTCATTGGTCAAAGCACTCTACTGTACAGGGCGGCCTCAAGCCAGAGAACTAGGCGAGGGACGCCAGGGTTCCTTTCCTGGTCCTCTGAGCTTGAATTTTTCCCATAAGTTGGGAGCTGAGGACAGAATGCCTAGGATATTACAAAAGCTAGAAGCCAGGGCACACTGGTACCTGCATAAGCAAGCTCTAGGAAGACACGGGCTTTGTAAAGACACAAGCTTTGGGTGAGGGAATCAAGAGCCAGGCAGGAATCCGAGTTTGCTCTGTATTGCCTAGTCCTCTTGGTTTCCTTCCTACCTGTGCCCATTTATTCCCCCACCCCCGCTCCTTCCTAAGTTGGTTCTGCTTCTGTTGCATACCCTCCTTATGTTTTCATGGTTTGCCAGCTAGATCTGCCAGTAATAAAAAAAACACCACCAAGCTTCTTTCCCTCAACCCTATTCCCCCACCAGTAACTAGGCCAGCCACCCAGGTCAGTGCTTCCCCACAAGATCTAAAACCCTCTTCCAGGATGTAAGAGGCAGAGTTGTCCGGGGCCTGGGGACCATAGAGCAAACAATTCTTGCCACACTAGAGGGACGGTTGCCCTGTCTTCCTGTGTGAGTCTCTTCCACAATTGTGACAGCAGGTACTTGGGACAAGTCAACTCAAAGCATCTTTCTGCCTCCCTCCCCATTCTGGCACTCCAAACCCAATGTAGCGGATCCAGTAGCAAGAAGTCTGCCATGTGCGGAGGGCAGTCTCTGCCATCCTCCTATGAGCTGCTGATGCAGGGCGAATGAGAGGAGCCGTTCCAACCCCCCTCCCACTTCTTCCTTCCAATTTTAAAAGATCTAAACTCATCACGCCATGCAGAATGGGCCCGGGGTCTCTGCTGTCAATCAAGAATGTTTCCCAGGCTTCATTTCCACATGAGACTCTGGGAAGGGCAGATTGTATCTTTCTGTAGCGGAGACATGCCAGTAATATCAGATGTTCTCAGTTTTGTGTACACAACGCCTTCTGGGGGGCAGTAGAGCTTGGGTACATTTTCCAAAGGAGCAGCATCGTCCAGCACACCATCCTCTTCCTTCTCATCCTCACCAAACCTCGGCACTTCCCCCGAGATTGATCAATTCTTATATTGCCCAGTGAAGATAATCCCTCTCGTCCACCTGTATCTTCAGTCTGCTAGGGTTGCGGCCCATCTGTCTAACAATCTGTGACTTGGCTGGGGTAGTCTTCATGCCATGTGGACAATCTTGGAGCGAACATTCCATCTCGGAATGTCTGGGAGCTGTTCTTGTCTTTGACTCAGATCTGCAAATGGTGGGTGGGTGGCTGATAGAAACTCAGCTCCATGGCAGGTTTAGGAGGACGAGAAAGTGAACAAGATATGCCATGTCTCCATCTCTGCATGTTACTCCCCCAAATACTCAGGTCCTTAGCCCTGTGTCATCCTTGGGACCTTAGACGGTCTATAGGGTTGGCCCATCCTATTTTGGCCGACTCCTGGCTTCCAGATCTAGGCTGCCCTAAAACCATCTTAGGGACTTGACACTCACTGCTCTCTCTAGGTTGCTGGCCAGCTGCGACCACCAATCAGTACCAGTCAGGGCTGTTTCCAAACTCACAGTTCCTGCGTGACTAAAAATGGCATGCTAGCATAGGACTATGTCTGCCTATCCTGTAGTCCCTTCCATTTATACCAGCTCCACGTCAGGGCTTGCCAGTCTTCCACCCTCTCCCCAGTTCAGTCCAGGATTCAAATGCTCTGACTGGCCTGGGCAATCACAGTTTCTTTGTGTAAAGCTCATCCCTTCCTCCCTACCTGTCCCAGGCTTCATACCTGTCCCAAGCTTTGGACCGTTCTCTCTCTGGCTCCAGTGCCTTCCCCCTTGGCCTCTGCCCTCCCTGTATCCTATAGCCCTCCATCCTGGAGATAATGGACCCAGGCAATGAGTGTGCCAGGGGCATGCTGATTTGCCAGCTGTGACCTCTGAGGATCTGCTCCTTATAGAACCTCGCTGGGGCACTCCTGGAGGCTGCCAGTAGCTCCTGCCCTCCCTCCCCAACCCTCCTTCTCACTTACACTCTGATGCTTGCCTCAGAGCCCAGGGGAAAGTACCCAGGTACTATCACCACAGAGAATACACTTTATACCTGATAGGAGCGATTATCTGAGGAGGGGGGACTGTGGACATAGTCCTCTCTCACCCTCGTCTCCAAGCTGCAGAACAAAGTTGGAAGCCTGTTCTAACCTCTCGGCATCTCTGTCCCAGGGCATTTGCTAGACTGCCCTGGGAAATGTGGCTCAGAGGGAGTAGGAGAGATGCGAGCGTGCGTCTCTGTGTGTTAAAAGATGCAGTCATAGGAGGACCCGGAGGAAAGTGGACTTAGACTCACGGGCCCTGGAAAACGAACAGCTATTGCACCTGAGGGAAAGGAAGCACAGGTCCCCGGGCTGTGTGACGGGGCAGGGCAGTGACTCCCGTGACTAGGAATATTTTCTTATGACACCTTATGGATAGTCAGAGAGAAGAGGGTCTTGTGAACATTTCATCTGTCAGAAGGTACTAGAAAATATATCATTCATAAAGATCTAAGTGAGAGCTGCTTTGCTCAGAGGGACAAAAATCTCTTCCTGTCTGTCACTTGTGGCCAAGGTCATGGTGGATATGGGGCCAGTCCTGAGGCAGCTAAGCTTCATGAACCTCCCAGTCTGTCTGTTTTTCTGTTCATGAATCTATGTTTCCCCAAGCTTGTTGGTGGGTAGGATAAGTCAGTTCCTTCACGCTGAGGTGACTTTCTGGCCTAGGGCTAAACACACCCCTTGGGGAAAAAACATTAAGGGAGGAAGGCTTCTCTCCGCCCTCTGTCCCCACTCTACCCTCTCCTCCCCGTGCCTTCTTGATGCCTGGAAGTTGACTGGAGGTGGGGGATGCAGTGTTATTGACTCCGAATGTCCCCTGAATTCGCTGAGATGTAATGGACAGTCATCTTGGTGTGACTTTGTGGTCCCCACACTTAGGGCCATCAATAGCTCTGATTTTGCAAGTAGGGAAGCTTCAGGGGCCTTGAAGATGTGTCCTTCTTCCCAGTGGGGGCTTATAGCACTGGACCCCAGGGAAGACCAATAAGTCAGGTTCTAGTTGAAACGACTTGGGCTCAGGAGCCTGACTCTCCTGGGGAAAGTTCTCCCCTTTCCATCGCTGACCTGGCCCTCTTCTGTGAGGATGGGAGATGCAGGGGGGATTATTTTCCAGTATTTCTGGAGATTTGAGGCAGAGTGAGACATCACGATTCCTCAGAAGTTAGGGTTACTGTTTGTGTCTAAGTCCCTGCCTACTGCCAACGCCACAAAGTAAACAGAGGTCATTAGCAGTGAGATCACAAGAGAGAGCTCTGCTCTCTGGTTTGCCTGGTCATCCTCACACTGTGCGTCTGAACAAGTACTGACCCTGAAAGTATGGAGAGGAGGCCCCTCGCTAGTTTCCCCGACAGTTCTGTAGAAGAACGGTATGGAAAAGTGGCAGCATCTGTGGACTACACCCCTGGGCCAACTAATATGAAAAGTCCACTTTAGATGGAGGTGGAGTATGAACAAGTCAGGCCACATAGGAGCCTGGCTGTGACCCAGATGAAGACTTCCACAGAGAGGGAGTCTGGCAATCAACTTCTTTGTTACTACAATTTGTGTGTCTTTCTGTGGCTGGGAGACCAAGGTTGTCCATCACAGGGCATATTGTCATCCATTCTAGTTTCTAATGTAAACAGAAAGGACTTGGGGTGCGCGGACCCTAAGCGTCCTAGACAGAAAGGCAGTACCAGAAGTTTCGGTGCAGGGGTGGGGGCAACTGCCAACAAAGAGAGGGGAGATGGTGGGGGCGAATAGAAACCACAAAGATGATAAAGGGGGACTTTGGAGTGAAGGGCTGGGAGTGGCAGGCTGCTCGGGGTCCCTGAAGGGCAGATCCCAGTCACCTGTCCACATCTCTGAGTTGAGGCTCCAGGACTGGACCCACATGGTATTTCTGGGTCTTTGTGGGTGTTGTGGGGGACCAAACTCTGTGCCATCCTTGGGATTCAAGTGATTCAGTGCGTGTGTCTTTCCGCCACTATCCAAAGGTCCCTGGTAGGATGCATGCTGGGTGCTTCAAACTACACAGACCATGAGAAGAAAATGAAGCCCACACCGACTTCATTCTCTTCCCCTCCCATGGCTGTATATTGGTTGCTGGGGTCCTCCTGGACCAGTGCGGATGCTTGGGGAGGCTTCTGACTTCTGAACCCATCTTCCCACTGGGCTGCCTGCCTTGCACGTGGGGGCCGGATGTGCTAGCTGGGGGCTACCAGACCAACCAGACTCGGTTATTTCCCATTTCCCTCTTAGCTCCTCCCACGTTGCCCCCGACTACTGAGGGTGCCACAGGCCTAGTGAGCAGTACTGATGCTACTGCCCTTGCTGCCACCAGTGAAGCCACTACAGTCCCCATCATCCCAACTGCCGTACCTACCACCATCGCCACCACTGTCGCCACAACTACTACAACCACTGCCGCAACCACCACCACCACTACCACCACCACCACCACCACTACCACGGAGAGTCCTCCCACTACCACCATTGGGACTAAGATTCACGAAACCGGTATGGTGCATTGCCCATGCTCCTGGCCCCTCTGAGCCCACCTCCTAGTTTCTCCAGACAACCCCAGACTTTTCCGACTGAGTGGTGGGCTCTGGGGTGATGTGAACTAGTCCCACCCATGCTTTACTTTGCACACGGGGCCCAGAGTCCCCACCCTGAGCACACAGGGGTGATTGCCCACTACTCAGCATTACTTATGTTAGTCAGATCAGATCCTGCCGTTCTTTGACAGAGACCAATCTTCTCAGAGAGAACCACAATCATATGCCAAATAGTCAGCCCAGGGATAGGCAACCAGGAACAGATGTGGTAAGAAGGGAAGGTTCTAATGGCTATGTGCCTGGCCAAGAGAGCTTCTGGCTACACCGTGTTTGTCTACCTCTAGGGCCAGAGGCTAGAAGAGGAGGAGGGGTGGCTGCCATGCCATGCCGCTTTGCCTCTGGATCCCCTGCCCCTTCCTTGCACCTCTGTCCCCAAGGAATTCTTGCAGATAGTTCTTTTTGAAAGTTAGAGCATGCAGGAAATGGTGTTCCCAGGTCTTGTCTTAGTGCCCGACAATGCTCCATTTCTTTTCCATACACTGCTAAAATGTATATCTGGAGGAAAAACTGCAGGAGTTCTGGGATGGCCTTTAGGGTCCCTGGACTTTGAGCATAGAAGAACCTTGGAGAATTCAGTCATTTCTGAATACCAAGCATCAGTCTTCTATTATCGTAGCGCAGAGGTCTTGACCTTCCTGGGCCCAAAGGGCAGCTGGAAAGACTGTCAGGAAGTGCCTGGGATGCTCCCATTCCCCCAGCCTCACTGCCTCCCAACACCCACTTCTCAGCCTCTGGATGTAGATAGAGTCGTGATGCCCCTGTTAGTATTTGCTCTGGCTCAATGATGTGGTGTTAAGTGAACCACAAGCAGAGGCAGGTGATTCACAGCCGATGTGTTCCTCAGCACTTGGAAATGCTGATGTGTTTTACAGGCACAATGCTAGAACATAAACATGAAATTTGGGGGGAAGTCAACCCAGGAGACGCCTTCTGCACAATCAGATGCTGTCAGCAGCTGGGGGGGGGGGGGTTGCTGCCCCGTAGGGCATAGTAAAGCATCTTTTTCAGGCCTTGCTTTAAATTCACAGAAGTGAGCCAAGAATTCAGAAACAATGAGTCTTGCTCGCTGGCAATTCCTGACCTAGAAACATCACTCTTAAACCAGGCAGGACTGGCCCCGTGGTTCACAGCTCAGGTGTAGACCCCGTCTGAAGCTGCAGAGGGCCTGGCCACAGCCTGCCTCAGTCCTGTAGAGAGAGCTTGGGGACAGCTGTGAAGTTTCTCAGCTTCCCTGGAATCTTTTGAATGAAATTGATCTTCATCTTGTCTTACATCTTAACATGCAATGTTTCACAACTTCTCCTTTTTCGGGGTGTCCCTCGTGTTGTTTTTAGATTTGGGTGCTACTCCCTAGTTTTGGCGTGCTAGGAATCCGTGGAACAGTGCATGCTAATCATAGCCTCCTTTTGGTTTCAAAAGTGCTGGGTGCTCACCTTCTTGGTCCCCTCCTCTGAGCACCCCACTTCTTTAGCAGCCATCATCCGGACCCTTCTGTATGGTTCCCACCCCCAGATCATCTCCGTCTCTCATTGCTTGGGCTTTTCTTTTCTCTGCGGGTATGGTGTGTGTGTGTGTGCATGTGTGTGTGTGTGTTCGCATGCACGCATGTATGCATGTGTGTGTGCATGCCTGCGTGCTACTGCACGTATGTTAGTATGTGTGAATGCAGGACCATACACGAAGACGAGAGAACAACCTTGAGTGCAGGCGCTGGCTTTCCAACTATCTGGATTTGAGACAGGGTCTCTGGCCCTTTGCTGCTTGCTGCACACTCTGGCCTGCGAGTGTCCACCTCCCATCTCTTGGTCTGCGGTAACAGACACGTGAGCTCCTGCATTCAGCTTTTATTTCTGTGTGGAGATCTGCACTCAGTCTGACAGGCTGGCACGCCAAGCATTTTACTCACTTCCATCCCTCCCTAGCACCACCCTGCTCCTCATTCCCTCTGAGAGCATCGGATTTGGCTCAGTATTACCCTAGGGGTCAGGCTGTTTAGGTGCAAAGTCTCAGGTGCAGAGTCCTGAGGAAAGGAGCAAGAAACCCCCCCCCCCAATCAGGACTAATCAACTTCATGACTATTACAAGATCCTTGAACTTCCAGGACGAGTGAATTACTAAAACAGCCATTGGGATCAAAACGGAACACGCAGCAGAAAGGAAGCCTGGCTCCCTCCCTCCCAGGCAGCATGGCTCCCTCCCTCCCAGGCAGCAGGCCTTCCGCTGCCACCAGCAGAGCCTTGTTCTCAGCCCCTCACTTGACACACATTGTGTTCACCTGGGGCAAACAACACCTGACAGGGTTGCAGTAGAAAAAAAAAACACACTTCTTTGAAGTGAAAATCAGGAAATCTTTTATCACTTCCTCAGCCCTGCAGACTCAATCACGTGTCAGCTAGATAATGAATAAATGCATCGCCAATATACTCTGTTCATTTAGGCCTGACAACTGAGTTGGTGACAGTGCCCCCCTTGCATTCTAATTAAATATGCAGGAGCCACGTTTGTAAAGCCCTCGAACTACAAGCATCCTTGCTAGTCCTTTGCTGCTCGATCTTCGCTGGGAAATGCGGTAATCAGGCTTCTGGGACTCTGGCATCTGAAGGCTACTGCCATTCTCCTGCATATGGGCTACCGTTGCAGACAGCACCTTGGCTTTGATAAAGCGGCTCCCAGCCCCCAGGTGCCTGATAATTAATGTCCTCTTTGTTACGAGGAGATCAAGCCTCAGTGGCTCTCAACAACCAGGATTCTCCTTGTGTAGAGAACACTAAGGGCTGGATGCCAAGGGAAGCTCATCATCTTTTGGTCCAGTCTAGCCTGTGTCAGGGACATTAGCTCTGGCTGCACCAGGGACCCTGAGGGTCTAGGCCACAGTACAGGTCATCAAGGCTCTCCTTAACCAGAGGGCCTCAGAGCAAAGTTACCCGATTAGTATTCTCTAGGTTCAGGAAGCCAGGAGGGGTTCCCTGTATTTAGTCTCACCCGTACTAACCCATTCTTACATGACTTTCTTCTGGTGGTGCTGGGGATGGAACCCGCATGCCCAGCAAGCACCCTGTACTGAGCCATATGCCTGCAGCTCCCCTCCTTCCAGTTGAAGGAGGAAAGCCTCCACCACCACCACCACCACCCCCACCAGCGTCCTGACCATGGGGCTGTTTCTTTGCCTCTTTCCTTGCGCAGTTCAAACTTTGACAAGGGATCCAACGAGGGAATAAACCCAGATTAGAGTTTCAGGTGGTAGGACTGGAAACCCACTCTTGTTCCTAACCCCTTCCTGTGAGGAGTGAGAGACAACTTCCTGATCCCCTTCACCTGCAGACAGGCCCCCTGGTTGCTCCTGGGCATCACTGGGTACCTTTGGCCTGGCGGTCAAGACCGCAGCCCGTAGCTCTGTTGGGCCCTGTGTAGCACAGCTGTCCCTGACTCTTCCCTTTCCCAACAGACTCTGGGTGTGAGAGTATGCGTGTGTATGAACGAACATGCCTCTCTGAGTCGCCTGGGCTACCTGCCTCTCTTCTCACCACTAACTCCTCTTCTAACCCGTCCGCCAGCCCCCGATGAGCAGTCCATTTGGAACGTCACGGTGCTCCCCAACAGTAAATGGGCCAACATCACCTGGAAGCACAATTTCAGGCCTGGAACTGACTTTGTGGTTGAGTACATTGACAGTAAGCATTGCTATGTGGGGTGGGGGTGGCGGCAGTGGTGCAGCAGTGGCGGGAAATGGTAGATGCCCATTAAGGAGATCCTGTTGAAGTCCCCCAGGCGTAGAAGCCTTTTAGCCTGGCTTTCATTGTGGTCTCGTGAAATCGATCTCTGCCAGAGAGAGCAGACTTGGAAGGAGTGAACTTGAACAGGAAGGGACTTCCAAAGCCATTAGCAAAGTGTGTGTGTTGTAGAGGGTCTGTGGACTGTGACCTGCATCCACTCTTGTCCAGAATGAAGATTCTGAGTATCCAAAAGTGAGCTGGGTCTCGTTTCTGGGTTGCTCTCCTGCCCAAGACTCTGGGTGTTCTGATGCCTTCACTGCATGGTCTCGCCAGGCGCAGACCTAAGCTGCAGCGGCTCTCTGTTCACAGAGTAGTGGGAAGCGGCAGTCACAGACACAGACCCGACAGCCAGTGGTTCAAGATAAGCTGGGCACTCTCTCAGAGCTTGGGATTCAGACAAGCAAACACACCAACACTGGATGGGCTGCAGAAGGTGCCAAGGGCCCTTGGTTCTGCAGGGTGAAGCCCACACCTCTCTAATCTAACATGTGCTAGAAGCAGTGAAGCCAATAAGCTTGCAGCTGGAGAACACAGCTGAATTAGTCCCTCTCGCCAAGAACTCTCAGGAAATGAGACCCTGGTGCTGAGTTCTGTGATCGGAGGAGGGCTTCAGATCCTCAGGGTCAGCAGTCCCTACTTAAGTCTGGATGGTTTCCGCTTCCCGCCACCATCCTTCCCTTCCACAGCCTAGAGACACAGATACGTTGTCTGATGTGTGACTTTGCGATGTGGCAAAAAGTTCGAGGCGAAACCAAGTGTGAAGTGAAAGCCAAGGATCCCGTCTCGCCTCCGTGTGAGACACTAACCATGTGACGCGTTCACCAGCGTGCTGGCTCCCCGGGAAGCTCTCACGCAGAAAGCGAGTCACTTCCAAGGCAGCTGGCATACGTCCAGGCCAAAACAGCCAATCTTGATATGCTTAGGGCTAAGACTGGTGAGGAAGGAAGACTTCAGGGGAGACATCACGTGAGAGTTAGAGTTGCATGCTGGGCGCCAGGGAGCTGCCTGCTCTGTGTGGTGGACTGGAAACTCTGGGAGCCTTAGTCCCCTTTCCCCACCTCTCTGCTTTTGACAGGTGAACAGGCACCTAAACACTCTCTCCAGCTCCTGGTGCCTGGTTGTAAGCTGACCTAGGTTTCTGTTCCCCAGGCAACCATACGAAAAAAACTGTCCCTGTTAAGGCCCAGGCCCAGCCTATACAGCTGACAGACCTCTATCCCGGGATGACGTACACGTTGCGGGTGTATTCCCGGGACAACGAGGGCATCAGCAGTACCGTCATCACCTTTATGACCAGTACAGGTGAGAGGGGATCTGGCCTCGCCATCCCCCACAAGCATGGGCATCTCATTCTCATCCCCAGCTTCCTGCTTGCCTCTTCTTGGGAACAGGTCTCATCTCCACCCCATTCCTTGCCTTGCATGGCGTGCCTCTGGCCTGCAGGACGTCAGAAGAGTCCGGTGTGCATGCCTCCATGGACAGCAAGGCAGGCTCTGGGCCAGGGGGGCTAAGTGGGAAACAAAGGACGGAATAATGAGGACAGGGGATGCCTGGTTCTCCACATCTCTAACAAAGAGCTCAGTGCATGCACTGTGTGTGTGTGGGCCCTGGGGAATGCCAGAGGGTCTGCCCCACTGTTTGGGAGCTTGCTCTCTCCAGGCAGAATGAGGGGAAGAGAGCAACCCGGGGTCTGGGTTCAGAAGTCTCCCCAGCATCCAAACCTGGGACCAATGTGTGTGTTGTTGCCTTGCCGACACCAGTGTGTTTTGTTTTTATTTAATGTCACTTCACGTTTGTCCTGCCTAAAAGTGAGTGGGTTTGGGCTGTTGTTTCTGTTTTTTAATCACACTTGGGCAGGATGACAGTCTGGCTCTGTAGGGGCTTCAGCCTGGATAGAGAAGCATCATCTTTAGAGCAAATGGCTAGGTGACCTGGAGCCCTAGGGACCTAGGAGGGGCTGGGCTTAGACATTTCTTTTCTGGTGGGGGTAGCTGGGGATCTGCAGAGCACAGAGGTTCTTGTTTGTCTGCGGGTGTGGGTTTGTGTGTATCTTTCCTATCAGAGACACAGCCAGGCTGAAGCCCTGGGGCTAAGCAGAGGTGGGGAAAGGGATTAAGAGAGAAAAGGATCAGCCTTTGCCTCTAGGGATGGCCTAGTCAGACGCGGGTTATTAGACGCCCAGGATGGGGGAGCCCCACAATGATTTATGTGAATTTCTGAATGCTGGCTTGAATATTCATTACCGTTCCCTGGCCCAGCCACATGAGGCCAATGCTGGGAACTCGTAGGTAGGGAACCCCTGTCCATCTGCATCCCGACTCGCTCTACCGCTGCTGGCCTGGCCCTTCCTGCTGTGCCTTCCCTGCTGTGCCTCTACCAGTCCAGCCCACAGAGTCTGAGTGTGCAGGTCCTTGCTTAAGATGAGCCAGGCGCACTCAGGCAGGATGTCTGAGTGACCAATCAGGCTGTTTTGTTACACGGGAAGCCACGCATCTGGGACAGCTGACCAAGTAGAACAGGTAGCCGGACTCTGGCCTGGTTGGAGATCCCAAACTCTTGGATATGTTGGATTTTGTTTCTTTACAGACTTGAGTCTAGCTCATGAGTAAGAAGCAAAGATGATGCCTGAGGGTAGAATCCATCCTAGAAATGCTGAGGAATCCAGCACTGCCTGTCTTGAGAGCTCTGCCTCTCTGGTGCTGTGGATAAGAACTAGAGAGAGCCAGGGAGAAAAGGACCAGACCCTCCCTTTGGGTTTGGCCTAATCTTTTTCAAGTATTAAGCATGCAGTGTCGGGGGGTGGGGGTAAATAATGGCTGCTGATACTTGGTTCTGAATATTGTCGTCAATACCTGTGTTTCTTTGCCTGTGCTGAATCTGGAGAGGCCCTGTCTGCTCCCTGCCCTAAGGTCCACAGAAGGAGGTAGCATTCGCAAGTCCTCCCAGACCCCTGCTCAGGCAAGCTGGAGCATCCAGGCTCAGTCCCCTGTCTCTGAGTTCAGGCTGCTTGCTTCCTCCTAGGCCAGCTAAAACTAACTGTGTGCAAACCACACGAGGAAAAGAAAATATTTTAAGTCTCTGAGGTCTGCGTGTGCCTGCAAATGTGTCGAAACAGTTTCTTTCCTGTAGGTGGACTCCAGAGGCAAGTCCACACAAACCCCCAGATCTCTGTGTTTCATCAAAGCAGAGCTTTCTGAACGTCTCTGGGCCCCAACCACAGGTCGTTTAGTCAACCACAGGCCGTCACTTTAGTCTGGAGGTGACATGCTGCCGTGGTTCAGGGAGGAAGGAGAAAGGACTTCTGGGAATGCTGGCAGGATTTCTAACCCTCAGCAGAAAGATCACACTGGGAACTCAATCACCCCTTGTTAGAGCTTCTGAAACCAGATACAAATCTATGACCCTAGATGCTAACAGACCCATCCATGCTTCCCCACTGGGACGTAGGAGCTGACATAAGCATTGGAATCAGGCAGCAGACAACTCGGACCTCATGGAGACCAGAGACGCTGCAGAATAGACAGGGTGTATGGGAAAAGGTGGCGTGGGACTTGAGGAAGGACAACCTCATTGTGTGTGAGGAAAAGTCGTCCCTGTTATATCAGTTGCTCATCCATTTATAGAATGATTTTCAATGATGAGCCTGTTGTGTATGGCCGAGCCGGATTCCTCCAGCCAGACATGGGAATCCAATGAACTGTCTGGTTAGCTAGTGAACTTCCCATCTTCTAAAAACAGCTTGGAGGTTTCATGAAGTTTTCCAGGGAGAAGTAAAATTAGCATCGGCCCCAAATTGGAATTGGCTCCAAGGCCCGTGGAATGACTCGTTCATGTTATGTTTGAATAAAATGAGTTTGTTAGCAACCATTTGAAGGGAGGTAGACAACTATGGACAGATGCACATTCCCCAAGTTGCCAACTGCCCCCAGTACCAAGCCTAATACTTGCTATGACCTGAGTCTCCAGCAGGATTAATGTGGTTTTTGTGTACCGCCCAGGGTTAAAGCTGTATAGATGACTCTAGGCTCAGTCAACATAAGGCACAGACAAAACCAGACTGAGAAAGTTATGTTTTTGCATACTCCATTCTGGTCTCAGAAAATTCTTCCCAGCCCTGGGAAGGCTGGCTAATTTTGCAAAGTGTGGTACATAGAATAGTTAGATGGAAGCTTGCTCCAAGGCAGTCCCTCTGGCTTCCACAGGGAAGACTAGTCTTGCTTTGGGTATGGCTTAGAAGGCTGGAACATGGATGCTCCTAGTCCAGGGCAAGCGGCATTTGAACTTGGACTTACTAGGAAGAAGAGCAGCTCCTGTCGTTTCCGGTTGGAGGTGGGGAGTACGAACGTTGTCTCTGGAGGTTCATAGTGTTGGTGTCTCAGGGCCAGTATAACAGATCAGTTGAGTGTGGCGTTGGTGGTCAAGTATAGTACCTCTGGAGCCTCACTAAAATGGCTTGCTCTCAATCTAAGCTGAGAATGTTCTCTTGTTCGACTGCTTTCTATTCTTGAGAAACCAACTTACTTCGTAGTAAGGTGTAGTCAGTTGGCCCCACTTGGTTTTGTGTCTGAGGTTCGTAAGAATTTTTATTTATTTATTTATTTATTTTACATTTTCCAATCAGCTCTGAAGTTACATTTCAACTTTGCCTGGTACTGTCAGGAGGGGACCACTACCTTTGCTTTCTAAACTGCCCCTGTAACCACTTTCCCCAGGCCTCACGACCTTCTTTCTGAAGAGAAAGGGCATGTCGTGGAGATGTCTGCCAGAGTATCAGAACAAACACAAGGAAGATGGGGGTGCAAACGGGTCGTTGCAGAGATGCAGACCAACCTCTCTGCAAAATATGGGTGCCACTGTCCAAACACAAGTGAAGTAATCCCCTCACCTACTGCCTAGGCATGGTACGTAGAAAGGAGGATCCACGTGGCCACTGGCTGGTGTGGGGAAAACCCAGTGGGGGCCCAGTTTCTCTTTCTTACCTTAGGATTAAGTGAATGTGTTAATCTGTAAGTAGTCACCGCTCACTCATCACGTGATCTCATTATGCTGTGTACTGGGAGGGTCCCGACACCCTGCTCTCAAGACTGCAGCAGCACAATTGGAAACGAAACAATTAAACGTTCATTTGTGTGAGACAGGGAGAGTGAGAACATAGTCCAGAGAAGGGGTAGATTGGGGCCATCATAGAGGATCTGGAGGGAGGAGAGAATGTGAAAGGTGCCAGGTGACAGTCTAGAGTCTCAGGTCGTGTGGGAACACGGCACGAAGAAGGCCAGACAGGCAGGAAATGAGAGAAGCATTGTCTGAATGGCATGTGGGAGTGGTCCCACTAGCCCCACTGCACCCCGGGTACTGACATGCATGGGTGCCGCACATCAGTATCAGAGTTGTTTTGGAGGGCTTGGCAACAGCCCTTAGATGTAGAACATGCATGAAAATTCAGGCCTGCAGGTTAGGGAAGAGTGTTGAACTCACAGCTGTGGAGGTCAGAGTCAGGGTGGAGAGGTAGATGTGGGAGAGGTCAGCTCGCTCCAAACAATCACTGAGACATGGCAGTTACAGCACCTTGAAGTCAGCTTCCTGTGAGGAGCAGACTTGGCAGGACCTGAAGGTCGTGAGAGATGGAGGGACCATCTGATCAGAACAGGGCAGGACATGAAGGCCGTGAGAGATGGTAGATCCACTTGATCAGAACAGGGCAGGATTTGGAGGCCATAAGAGATGATAGGACTATCTGATCAGAACAGGGCATGGATCATCTCAGAAGGTCCAACAGGTTCCTCCAGGTTTGTGTTTTAAGACATACAAAGAAAAGAGCAAAGATGAATAAATGGAATATGCTGGGAGTCCAGGACTCCTTACAGGAATGAAGGACCAAGGTGTTACATCCCAATTAAACTTGACAGGGGAAGACCTTTGACACATAAGGAAGGGACAGCTGCAGAGGCTGTGTAGGTTCAGGCTCTCCAGTCCCAAGAAGGATCAAGGGAAGGGTGGGTGGTCTAGAGGGCCATGAGGGAGGAATGATGGGAATCCTTGACCTTGAGCAGCAAAGTCCAGCAAAATGATGATGTGACATTGTGACAAGATAGTCTATGTCTTCCTCTAGTGCTGGGACAAGAGCTAAGCAGTGAAGTCACTGCGAGAGACTCGCTGATCTTTTTCAGTAGAAAGAGCAGTTGGTGCAAAGGTCTCAGGCAGGAATGCAAGTGGCCGAGGGATTGGTGTATGGAGAGGGATGCAGAGCTACAGGTGACGGGGCCAGCTCTCTATCAGAGCCTCCTGATGAGGAATGCAGGGTGTCCTCCCACAGCAATTAGGAGTTTTGGAGGGGTTGACGCAAGGGAGTATTTTAACGCTTTGTGGGGCCTGGGGCTGCTGTGTGGAGAGCACCGGACAGGAGCAGGAATGGAAACAGGGCACAGCCTTTCCCCCACAGCATACGCAGATCAAAGTGCTAACAGTCACGGGTCCTGTGGACCAGGCTTCTTTGCAGCAGGGCAGCTAGGACTGGGGTGCCATTGAGGGCCTGCTTGTCACTCCTCAGTGCTGATGGAGAGGGTCTTCCTGTCATGTGTTTGGCTTGGCCCTGAGAAGACTGTGAAACAGTTTCTGCATCCTATATAGGCAAAGGGTACCATGTACCCAGGAGCTAGGACACAGGGGGTCACAGATCCCGCGTGTCTCCTAGGAGGAGGCTTGATGTTATGACTTACTCCACGGGCTGCCTAACTCTCCCAAGCCTCCTCTGGGCTTCCCTGGGTATTGTGGTCTCTGGAGACTTCCCTTCTTGAGGCTCATGTCCCATGAAGGCTGTGTTTCAGGAACTATCCCCTTTGTCCTCTAGTCCACAGAAAGAAGGGGGAGTGGGTACTTAGCAGACTCTCCCACAAACCAAATCCCCAGCCCCCGGACAGCATGAACACCATCAAAGAACTCTTGGGCTCCTGCTCTTAGACACACGTGGATTCCCTTCACCCCGCAAAGGGATCTGTGTGATGATCTTCACAGAAAAGAAGGCAAGTTGGCTTGTCACAGCCCTCCAGGAGCATCCCCTGTCAGGTGACCCAGAGCCACTGCCTGTGTGACCTGGGCACCTGGGCCGGAATTATCTGCCTGCTGCCAGAAAGCGCACAGTCCAGCTGGGGAGACTTGAAAAGGCACAGGGCCACCTGAACCTCCATCTGGCCCAGGAGCCACTGCCAAAGCCTGATGGACAGAGAGGCTATGCCTGCAAGGTGTCCTCCAGCAGGCTTAGGCAGTGTGGACACGCTCAGCCTCCTGACAGGTACCACGCAGGCCCGTTCACCAGGACCGTGCTGCCACGCTGCACCACACGGTCCCGCCAGGCCGTGGCCAGCGCCAGCGTGTGCAGTCTATAACAACGCCACACCTTCTCTTTAGTGAACATTTCCATCCTCTAGGGCCTGCTCAGCCTTCTGCTTCTCTGCTCCCTGCACCCTTTTCTTTGCCTCCTTTCCGATCTTTTGGCCCTTGGTTCCTTAACCATTTTTCTTTCATCCCTTGAGCGGAGTAGCTCGAGCCAGAGGGCTGCTAGGCGGTAGCAACAGGCGCTAGGACAAATCTGCCCAATAGCTGTGTGCCTCCCCTGCCTTCGTCCTCACCCGCTCCCCAAGCAATCAGTGGCTCATGGTTTGCCTCCCACCCTCCCTGCCAGCTTACACCAATAACCAGGCAGACATCGCCACCCAGGGCTGGTTCATCGGGCTCATGTGTGCCATCGCCCTTCTGGTGCTGATCCTGCTCATCGTCTGCTTCATCAAGAGGAGCCGTGGCGGCAAGTACCCAGGTGAGCTGTGGGTCCACGAGTCACCAGGGCCCCACCAGAGACAGGGCTCTGCTCTCTGCTCTTTTAGGGTTAGAACTTCAGGCCTGTGGCAAATTTGACCTACTTCTTAGAAGCTACCAGCAAAAAAACTGAGTTAATTGTATTTGCGCCGGGTGAATGGATGGGTGCAGTCTAGGCAGCTCCAGAGAGGCCTGGAAGGAACCCTGGCTCCTACTGAGATGGCCTGCCTTCCCTTGGCTTACCTCCTAGCTGCTTGGCAAAGTGGCTTTCTTTGGCTTGAGAGTCATTCACACGCCATATTAGGGCAGAGATAGGGAAGTGAGGTGGCCATGCTAGAAATGGAGAGTAGGGGGCTAGGCAGAAGCAGCGTAATCCCGACAGAATCCACATGGCGGACTGTACCCTGCTGGGGCTTATCTCAGTGCCTGTCACCACGGACGAGGCAGCTCTGGGGACAAGCAGGGAGAGGCTGGAAACAGGCTGTGCAAATGGCACCCTGGCCCTTCAAGTCCCACAGAAACACGTCTCTTCCGTACCCCAAGGGCCTTCAGTGCCAAGATAAGGACCCCTCCATTCCCGTTTCAGAAAATAATGATTTTTTTTTTCAAATGAGCAAGAGAGCCATCGGGCTGTGACAGGGTGGATCAGGCGACTGAAAGTCGATAACCAGAAGGAGAGATAGCCTGAGAGTAAGCCATCCTGTGTAAGCGGAGGCTGAACCTGCTTCTGCCCCAGAGCCCCGGCACCAGACACATTCCCCAAATGCTCCTTTCTCTTGGGGGCGGGGACAGGCAAACTTAGATGAAGCAAGTAGGAGGAGAAATGATGGAGTCTCCCTCCTGCCCGGTGCCCATAGATCCTTGGGTCCTGAAGCTCTGCCCCCGCTAGGTGAGGGAGAGTAGAGAGGCCATTCCTTGGTGAGCAGTGAGCTCTTTCACTTTGTTCCACCATATCTAGACTTTTTCTTCTGCAAGAGAGAAAGTCAGAGCTGGATAGAGGTCCAGACACGGGGGTCTTACCCCCGAGGAACCCACCAGATAAACGTAGTCTGCCTTTGCCCTTCCAGAAAGCGCCGCAACTCAGAAAGTTCTCTCAAGGCAGCCCCCTTCCCTCCAGCTATGGGGTAAGCACCTCATACAATAAGAAGACAGGTGGCCAAGGAGCCAGGGCATGGGGTCCAGTCTTCGCTCTTCCTGCAGCTACGCATTTTGTGGCCTGTTCTCAGCTCTCACATGAGCTGATTATCCCGTTCAAACATCAACAAATCCCTCATGTAAGCACCTGTTGTATGCCAGGCTCTGGGCTGGGTACTGCGAACACAGAGGGAAAGATAACTGGCTTCAACATTACAGTTAGCTCAGAGGGGCAGACCATGGCATAGCAGGAGAGGCCTTGGTTACATCAAGGTCCCAGAGGGCCATATAGGAAGAGGGAGTCAACGAGAGAGGCTCATGGGAGAGCAGGTTCATCCCACAGACAAAGGGAGCAGTCCCTCTCCAGCTCTGCTTGGAGCTTTGGAGAAACACAATCCCCCACCAAAAAGAAGAAAGCTAACTTTTATCATCAGTGAGGAAATATATAAAATAATTATAATGCAGAAGAAACTGAGAAGGGGCCAGACAAGGGAATATTTGCCTTTGGCAGAGAAAAGAATGACATCTCTGATATATAGGGACAACTTGATGGAGAAATGGCAGGGAGCTGAGAGGTTTGTCAGCTGGGGTGTAAAGACCCCTTGGGGTGTGAAGGAGGCAGAATCTTCTTAGCAACTGATTGAGTCTGGGGGTACTAATAGTGCTTTGTTAAAAGGAAGCTTGTCATTGACTGTCACTGAGCCCAAGATGGTGTCTGGGGTGTGGTGTGTGTGTGTGTGCACTGTACACAGATACCAAAAGAGGGTATTGTCTGCCCTGCTCCTTCATCCTCTGCCTTATTCCTGTGAGCCTGGAGCTAGGCTAGTCCCAGCACTCCTGTGTGTCCACCCCACAGCTCCAGGGTTCCAGGCACACACAGCAACTCCTGGCTTTTCACATGGGTGCTATAGTCTCAAACTCAGGTTCTCTTGCTTCAACAGCAAGTGCTCTCGGCCACGAGCCATCTCCTCAGCCCCCAGGGTGATGTCTTTGGGCTGTGTGTTCAGAAGCACCCTGGAGAATAGACGTCCTTCTTAATCATTCTGTCCGTCTGTCTGTCTTCCTTTCTCTTACCGACCAGTGCGAGAAAAGAAGGATGTCCCTCTGGGCCCTGAAGACCCCAAAGAAGAAGATGGCTCATTTGACTACAGGTGACTGATCTCCTCCCTCTCCGGGGAACTGGCCTTGCTGCCCCAAGGTGGCTCCTTACAGCAGCCACAGGGTCACTCTGTCCACATCCCTCCAGCCCACGGAACTGCTGCTTTTACCTCTGTGGCAGCTATTTGGCTGGGTGTACACACTCTGAGAGACTGAGAAGCCCTGGTACCCCCTACTGGACAGGACGTCCAGCCCCGGGACCCCTTTTTTTGTGAAGTGAGCTTGGCTATCAGGCCTCCTCCCAGCCGGCATCCCACTCCTAACCCCCAAGAGAATGAATGGCCACACCCCTCTGTGAACTAGTGGCGGCCCAGAAGGAGCTGGGGCTGGGCTGCCAGCTGGTGCTTCTGTCCTGTGCCGGCGCTCCCTCTCAGGTCTGAACAGACATTTCAGTCCGGGTTTTTCCAGGTTGTCACTGGTCCCTCTGGATGGCCAGTGTATTCTGAGCTCAGGAATGGGTCAGGGTAGGTCATGGGAATCTCATCCAAGACCATTTGGGGTGGGAGAAAATATCAGAAAACAGCCGTCCTTCCCCATCCAACCCTGTTAACTCTGCGCAGGTCACACAGTTGTCCTCCGACCTCTCCTCCTCTCTCACCTCTGTTACCTGCTCTTCAGGAGCCTGGCAAACAGCACCAAGTCAATGGGTAGAAGCTGCTGCCTGCCCAGAAGCCATCTGGCAGCTTATGCCCGCAGCTGCCCATCCAGCCTGGCATCCCTGTGAGCATCGCCTCCACCCTCTCTGGCTGGCCTGGAATCACCTGGCAGGTTCTAGCCTCCCTGTGGGCCAAGAGCTACCTCTAGCCCTCAGTTAAAAATTTTTGGGCTTTTTTTTCTCCATGCCCTCTGTGCAGCCCGACGGAGTCGGGGTGAACACAGGATAAGCTGTTTCCTCCCTCACCTCTCCTCCCTCCGGGCCAGCATTGGCTCTGCAGGTTCTGCACCTAGAACCTGCATTGAATGAGTTCAAGAATCCTGCAGGGGAAAGGCTAAAATTAGGGCGTCGGAGGAACTAAGTTTCCAAGGGAATTGCCTGGGAGCAAGGAGTGGGCTTTCCTGCTCTGCTCTTGGCTTTGTGGCTGGATTCCCTTCTCATGAGGCCTGCCTCTTCCTGTTTCTGTCCTCTTGGGCCTTGCAGGTCTGGGGGATAGGGAGGCAGATTGGCAGACAGGCAGGCAGTTGGTTAGGCGAGGAGTCCTTTCATTCAAACCTCCTGAGGAAAGTTCCATTCCTCTAGACCAAGGTCCCTTTCCTCTCAAGATCCCCACATACTGACTCTGTGGGGCTCTGTCCAGGGCTACATTGAGCTGAAGTTCCTGGGCCCTGTACAGGGATCCCTAGAGCACCTAATGGAGCCTTCATGCCTTGCAGTGGCATGCTGGGAAGGAAGCCTGATGGTAATCGGACTGTCATCCTCCTCCTGCCCAAACTCAGCCCAGCCTGAATTTAGATCCACCTGCCTCACTCTGTCCCCACCATCCCTGCTGTGGCACTGCCATCAGAGCACACAGATAGTCCACCATAGCAGGTCACATCCACTCAGCATATGGCAGGTGTGGACCTGTGGCCTGGCTAGAACCTGTCCGTCAAGAGGAACTGGAGCACCCATGGCCTCTGACTACAGGACATGTCTCTGCTCTTGACAAGAAGTGAGCATTGTCAAGGAGACTGCCCTGCCTTTCCACTTCCGTCTTGGCATTGCTCGCCTGGGTGAAGCAATGTTGGTGCTTTGGGGCTAGCAAGTAAAAGGGGTGAATGTTCACCCCACATGCCACTTCAGGGCAAGAGCACTGCATTAGGTGGTCTGGGAATCCCTGTACAGGGTCCAGGTACCTCAACTGAATGTACCCTTGGACAAACACAGCCCCCCGGAGTCAGCATCTGAGGCTCTTGGGAGGAAAGGGGCCGTGGTCTAGAAGAATGGGACTTTCTTCGGGAGGCTTGAATGGAAGAGTGCCCAGCCTAGCCAGCTGCCTGGCAGGCTGGCCCCATCTGTTCATGCTCCGTTCCAGCTCCATCTAAGGCCCCTTCCTAGTCGCCATCTACCCGAGGCTACTGTTCAAATGGCAGCTTAGCCAGGAAAGGACTAATGCCTAAGGGTGCAGAGGGTGGCCCACAGCTGCTTCCTGCCTGGGAGCCTGTGTCACCTGTGAAACGTGACCAGCAGCACCTGGTCTCTTTGTCAAGCAGTGTTCCAGCCGGGAGGAAGGGTGCCACGCCTGCTTGGCATCCTAGAGAAGCAGTTCTCAACCTGTGGGTCACGACCATTGGCGAACACATAGTACCGACGGAGACACTGCTCGGTAGCAAAATTGCGACATCACAACGAAAGCAAGTTCATGGTTGGGGGTTCCTAAGACTGTTGGAAATGGGTGTTTTCTGATGGTTGTGACTCATGGGTCATGATCCCAGTTGAGAACCTCTGTCCTAGAGAATATAGCTGGTATATGGAGTGGGCATCTGCCCTTGCAAGCTAATGCCACTATATCTCCAAGGCCTGGAACTCTTGTCACCCAGGAGGGCCTTAAGGACAGAGCTTAGAAGGGGCTAAAAGTCTTGCTAGTGTCTTCTCAACTCATCAGGCCTCACATGCTTCCCTGATGCTCCTCCCTCCCACTTCCCACCTCTTTTACTTGCCAGGCACAACGCATTAGCATTTCTCTAATACCTGATCTTACCCAGCATGCCATCTGCCTTGGGGAAGATGCCGGTCCTCTCTGTGCCTCAGTTTCCCTTTTTGGTAGAGTCTGCTGGGCAAGAGAGGGTGACACTGGGTGATCTCCAAGTCTCATCCTCCTGCATTGGTAGGAAGCCCACTACCCTCTCCCACACATGCGTACACACACACACACACACACACAGTTTAGGCTGTGCCAGCCAGTGTGGACCTGACTGTGTCTCTCTCTGGCCAGCGATGAGGACAACAAGCCCCTGCAGGGCAGCCAGACATCCCTGGACGGCACCATCAAGCAGCAGGAGAGTGATGACAGCCTGGTGGACTACGGTGAAGGTGGCGAGGGCCAGTTCAATGAAGACGGCTCCTTCATCGGCCAGTACACGGTCAAAAAGGACAAGGAGGAAACAGAGGGCAATGAGAGCTCCGAGGCCACATCGCCGGTCAATGCCATCTATTCTCTGGCCTGACGGAGCGCCCCAGGCACAGCACACTACTTTGCAAGTAGGAGGGGAGAAGGGGAGATAAAGCGACCGCAGACCTACCACAAAGCCACAACCACCTTCAGGGACAAGGGTACAACATGGGGTCTGCCGAGCTGTGAGGACCAGTGGCGACCCAGCTATTCACAACCCCCTCCCAGTGATACCCCAATGCCCGTGGGTGTCACTAGATGGGAAAGCTAGAGCTACACTCGTTGGAGGGAGTGCTAGTTTCTTGCCCTGTCTCATGGCCACCCTGAGCATTTCACCACAATGGCCAGCCTTGATCTCGGCACACACTCATCCATTCCTATTGCTTACAATCTTTTCACTGTCTTCGTTTTTTTTTTCTTTGTGTATCTTCTCCTTCCAGCCCATTGTCTCCATTTTCTTTTACTTTTGAAAAAAAAAACGTCCCTGGAAAAAGACTAAGTGGGCTCTCCCCCAGGAAACGAAAAGATGGGCAAAAAGGATTGATCCATAACACAACATGCAGAAAAGCTGTAGTATTCAAGCGCCACCAGGCCAGTGTGTTTCCGAAGGATGCCTTTCGCCATATGCCTCCCCTACCCCCACTCCCCACCCATCTGCCTCGGCCTTGTCCGTGCTGAGCTGGGCTTGGCTCCTTTCTGGAAAATGACAGTGTTTTTTTTTTTTTTTTTTTTTTTTGTTTTGTTTTGTTTTTTGGCAGGGAGAGGGTGGGCAGGGCTCCTTGCCGTACTCTGGTTTGGTTGGGAGTGGGGTTTACCTCTTGCTACTCGTTCTTACTCTGCCCCTGCTGCCAGAGAGTCTGAGAGTGAGCTGCACCCAAGATGAAGATGAAGAATAGGTACCGATGAGAAGGACTGAGCCCCGTGCAGAAACAAGTGAGAGTGTGGTTCCCGGGTAACGGAGCAAATCTCTGGAGGAAAGAAAGGGCTGGGTCTGGAGCTCTTTTGTCTCTGGTAGTGAAACCCGGAGTGGAAGAGAGAGGACCACGGCTGCCCACCCAGTCAGGGTCTACGCTGCTACCCTACAAGAGCTGAATCCCTGTGATACAGGAGCGTGGCTGGTGTATCTGGGGGTAACAATGCTGCTCCCCCTCCCATCCTGTCCTCGCTCAGTTGTGTCTGACATGGACTTGTGTTTGACATGGTATATGAATGGGGATCTGCTGCCCCCAGACTGAGCCTGTCTGTCCTTTCATTAGGGTACACATACATATCAGGGGACCATGAGGTGCACCCTGCTAACTGCAGTGCTGTGATGCCCCTGTCTGGAAGGACACAAAGCTCTTCGTATGCCTTACGCAGCTCTGATCTAACCCTGCAGTTCCCAGATCCCTAGCCCTACTCTGCAAGCCTTGATGCCTCCAGTGATGTATGTCTCGGGACCAGGGCAGCCTATGCAAGCGTCCCCTTGGGACCAGAAGCAGCCACTCCACACTTGCCCTTCCCCCCACCACCCGAATGGAGACACTCGCAGGCCTGAAGTTCTCAGCCTGAAGGTGCTGCCTTCATCCCCACCTAATCCACTTTTGAAACCAAAGGTACCTTGCCTCAACGACACAAGAGATGGGAGCTCTTGAGCCAGAGTGTCACCCTGGAGCTGTGTCTACAGCCTGAGGCAGTTGTGGGAGGGCGAGGTCGACCACTGCAAATGGATCACCTGCCACCGGCATGGCCTCCAACTTTAGCTATTAGTCAGGGGCCTAGGCAGGCCCAGGGCTGCGCCCTTCAGAGACTTTTCAAAAGCGTCATTTGCCACATGTTTAAGCCGCAGAGGTATTAGCAATGCTTCCATCCCTTGATAAGCATCCGATTGAAGGTCAGGCCCATAGGCACACACCCTCTGCAGGTAAGAAACCACATCCCAGAGATGAGCCGATAATGTTTGAGCCTGAGTGTGTGTCATGGTCCTTTGGCTCAACCCATGGCCAGCACTGCTGCCTGGAGGCCCGACGGACATATCTCATGGTGAAAGGGGACAGGGTAAAGGGCAGAAGGCTGGGGATGGGGGTGTGCTCAGGGTCCCCTTCCCTGGCTCCAGTCTAGCTCTTCTTGAACGCAGCAGGGCATTGCTGTGGTATAGGCCACCGTCCCTGGAGGGAAGGCTGGGGAAATGTGCCTGTCAGCTTAAGTGAGGCACCACCCTTTCCAGAAAAAATTTTAGATCTGGGCAGAGTGGCCAGTTTCTCGGATCTCATTCACGTGGCACCATCCGGCTAGTGAACCGATGCACCGAGAACAGGCTTTTAGAGGAAGAGACTCTTAGATGTGCCTGCCACAGACAACCTGGAGAGGGCTGCTTTGGTCTTAGGGGTCTGGGGGGAGAAGTGAATCCTTAAACTGTCTTTGTGCCCCGCTCCAGAGTGCTGGCATGCTCAGTACCCTCCTCCTCTGTATATAAAGAGAAAGTTACGAACCTTTCTCTCGAACTGCTTTGTGGGTGCTGATAGGGGCTCCCACCGCCACTGATCATAGCTCTCCTGGGAGGAACAGATCTGGGCTGAAGAACCAGTTTCTCCCAAGTAGAGATGGCAGGTGCCCACAGACCAGGCTCAGCAGTGTGGGGGTGCAAGGTGGAGGAGGCAGCTCCTTCCAGGGAGGGGAGAGGCCACTTTCCACACAGCCTGCCGGAGTGTACCCCAACTCAGCAGGAGAGCAGTATTGCCCCCTCCCTGCGCCTGGATCCTAAGCAGCCATCCCAAAGCGATACCTAGTCCTGCTAGAGTTTCACCTGTCTAGTGGGGGCAGGGGAAGAGAGCAGTCATCTTGCAGTGATGCTGAGTGTTTATCAAATGCTCTTTGAGTCTGGGCCAAGGCTTGAGCCCTGAGTACCATGTTAACGAGTGAGGTCAGATGTGGCCCCTGCCCACACAGGGCTGATATTACTGGAAATGAGTAGATGAATTACCAGGATACGGAGACCATTACGTTGGAAGCATGGTGTTCTTGTTTGCTTAGACTACTGAATGCTTCAAGTCAGAAAAGAAAGGCTTCCAAGGGAGAACCTGGTCCATTGGGCCGGCAAATCTGGACAGGACGTGGCAGTCAAGATGAATGGAGTTCAGCAACCAGTGTTGTGCTTCCTTAGGGTGTCTGTCTCCCCCATTTAGCCCCTCTTTGAATACTCTTGTTCAGAGGTGGGTTGGATGTACATGTCGGGATCAACTGTCCTCCCCCCTCCCCAACCCTCACCCCGCCACCGCCTGGGATATGGTAAACAGGACACATGGGTCCCTGCTTGGGCAGAGAGCTGAGTTGATAGAGGGAAAACCAGCCTGGCTCCTGTCCTTGCCTATTTCCTCTGCCCCCAGAGGTCAGGGTAGAAGGGACCACTTCCTCCCAACGAGGTCTAGAATGATCAATGAGCCTAGAGTCAGCCGGTGACTCAGCTCAAAGGAAATAAGAGAGCTTGTCCATGGTTTCCCTGAACACAGTCAGCGTTCAGAAGGGGATAGAAACATCCATGGGTATTTGTAGAGTTTCCGGACAGCCTCCCCACCCACCACACACCTGTGCACACGCACACGCATGCAGCATTCCCACACCCTGTTGCAGAGCAGTGTTTCCAAGAGGGAACAGCCCAGATCATGCATCATCTCGCAGGATGTGAGTCCGTGTCTGGTTCACATGACATGAGCTACTAAGACCTGGGAAAGGAGGGATTTTGGGAAGGGAGAGATTCTCTGGGTTGGGCCTTATTTTTGTGACTCCTGTGGGCAGAATGCAGAGAAGAGATCAGAAAGAGAGACATTTTCTGGCCCCTCCTGAGAGCTCCTGGTTAAGCCTGGCTGCCCTAGAGCCCCCCTCCCCCGACATGATGGGGAAAGCAAGGTCTCCTTGCTATTTATGAAGCGGTTTCATTGTTGCTCAGCAGAGGTAAAACATCTTGGTCCCTCCATGGTCTGTGGCTGAGGCCAAGGTTCACTTCTCGCGGGAGGATAGCAGGTTGCTTGGGTATCACCCCAGAGCCCATTCCTCACTTCTGTCACCTTGTGGTGGGGTGTCTGTCCTCCCTAAGTCCTTCAGCAGTAGCCTCTGTCCAGTGCAAGCCAATGGCCAGGGTTGGTTCACCCAGCTGGGCCACAGTGCTCCCTTTTTACCGAAGCGAAAGTCCTCATGAGAATTTCACAAGGTAGCCTAGGAAGTCCATGCCGGCAGTTCCCAATTCAAAACAAGAAGCCAGCGACAGAGAATGTGGCGTGTCAGGAGCCTCAATGCCCTGGGGGGACACAGGTGGACTGGGCAGAGCTTCCCTTCAACTCAGTGGCCAAATGCCTTTTAATCCTAATATGCTGATAAGAGCAGCCGCTGCCACGAGACAGGAGACGACGATGAAGTAGATCCAAGGCATCTCGCTTAGGACAGAATCGGATTCCCTTTGTGAAGGAACCTCAGAGCTGATCTAATTTAAATGACTCATTGTGCAGACGTGCATGGAGGAGAGCTGGTCAGCGAGGGTACTTTAGGGCCTTCTGACTCCGTGTCCAGTGTTCTTTCATCCCCACCGCAGCTGCCTCGGTAGGTGTTGCTTGAGATCTGTCCTGCATATCACCCTGCCACCTCTCTCTACCTTTACGCTTCCGCTCCCAGAACCTCCCAGTGTACAACAAAAAGGCTTCTCCTTAGTCCGAGATCAGCCAGCCCGTGGTTAACTCAGCCGGGGTGTTACAAGCAGCCCCAGCCAGAAGGTGGGATGATGAGCCAGCCCACTGTGTTTGCTCCTGTGAAACCCGGACTGGGCCCCAGAATGGTGTCTCTTGCTTCATCAGCATACGGTATTCCCCAGAAGTGAGGGCATGGAGGGGGGTCTCTGTCCATTCTGCCCTTGACCGTAGAGTCTGCAGGTGCTGAGGGATAGCGGGGCCCAGGCAAGCTTACCACCCTGGGATCTGCTGCGTTGGAGTTCAGCAGATGTAAAGACTTCCATGAAGCAATAAACACAAAAGTCTGGGAGTAGATATCCAGAATTTTGTGCGCTCTGTTTTGTTTTTTCTTTCAAAGTTGCTGCAGATCAGATGACCTGACCTGCTCGCTCTTCTCAGTCTCAGATGTGATGTCCTAAGTCAGTGTTTCCCCTCTGCCCAGCTTCCCAGCTCTTTGCCAACTTCTTTCTGAGCTGATTATCAGTCACTTGTCTGTCACACGCCGCTATCCATCCCGGTCCCCGCCTCAACCATGCTGGATCCTGGAGGACCTCTTGCCCCGCCCCCAACCGCATACACATCTCTGCCTTCCACCATGGTGTTCCCCGTGTCTCCATCCCGCCCCACGTTCCTACACACGCAAGTTGGTCTAATCTTTTCTCCTTTGGTTACACATTTAACTCTCCATGGCAAGCCCACGTTAATCCCTCTCACATCGCATCCTTCTTGTGAGTTACTTGTCATTAACCAACTTTGTCAGCAACAGATATGTATCTGAGGGTGTCACGCGCGACCTTCAGCAGGGACTTCTGGGCCATGGAAGACTGTCTAATACATGGACTTATAAACTGACTGCATGAGCAATGAAAAGGCCAAAATATTCAGATTTTTTTTGAATCACTGTAAAAAAAAACTGATTTCTTTTGTATAGAGAACACTAAACGTATAATAAAAGTTGTTCAAAATGGACTTTAGTCATGTAATTTGTTTCTTTTCTTTGATAAGTAAGAGAGGTGTCAAAAGATTAATGACAGAAGTGAATCTAAGAGTTAGACATAAGGATCATTTGATGTCAAATTTGATGCATGCAAATAATCCCAACACTCAGGAGACTGAAGCAAGAGGCTCAAAGGCTTGAGCTATATAGTTCATAAGTTCAAGATCAACCTGGGCTACGTAGCAAGAGCCGTCAACAACAACAAAGAGGGGCCAAAGGATTTTCCACAGGCACCAGGCAGCATTCTCTATTATGGAATTCTGCCATTCGAGCCCCCATCTAGAAGGTAGTCTTTATTTAGAAAACTCATTTGCACGATTTTGTGTTTTAAACATAGAGTGACTGAGATGGAGTTGTGTATGGTCAAGGAGACACCTTCTGGTTAGGAGTAGCTGTGTACACATGCCACCTAAAAAGCCTCGTGCTGGGGACGGAATGGGCACCGGCACCCTGTCCCCTCTTCCTACTCTTCCTCTTCCTACACTCTGTGCATGGGGAGACACTAGCATGTCCCCGCTTTGTCCTTAGCCTGGTGTAGGTAGCTGCCAGGAACTTCAGCCAGGAACTTGCTCGGAGGAAAGAGAACTGGTAGCTCATAGGTAGAAATGGAAACATAGGCCAAAGGACCCCCACAAAATGTAGACAACTCTCCTGAACAAAGAATCAGCAAGTAAGCCTCAAACCCCTGGCTTCCTCTCCTTCTGAGAGGCCTCCCAGTGGATCACTGACTTGAGGGGCCGCTGTCTCACTGGACTGTGACCTTTATTTCCAGGTGAGGTAACTCACTGGCTTGTCACACCTCTGCACCTTCTTGTCACTCCCAAATTAACCAAATATCTCTGAAATTGATTCCTTAAGTCAGTTCGCTTCTGTCTCACCCTTGGTTCAAGCCAATAGAGTCCTGAGAGGAGAGTTCACAGCGCAAACTATAGCCCAAAGCTCTGCACGTGACCTCCCTCCCCACTCGACCCCCCACTTGTGACCTTGTTCACTTGATTCCAGACCCTGCCTCTTTCTAGGCCATTCTGAATGCTTTTCTCATTATACCTTCTAGATCATTCCTCTCAAACTCTCTGAAGGCAGCTCTAGCCTTAGTTCTAGGCTCTCTCTCTCTCTCTCTCTCTCTCTCTCTCTCTCTCTCTCTCTCTCACACACACACACACACACACACACACACACACACGTACTAGTTCTCACTATGCTGGTCTGCAACTCTTGGGCTCAGGCAATCCTCCTGAGACACCTTATGCTCTCTTTTAACCAGTTTCACCACATCTTCCGCCATCAGCTCAGGTGACACCATCTCAAGGAGTCTTCCCCAACAGCTCTGTATTCAGGGTTCGCATCCCCTCACTGCTGCCTCCCTAGCATTTACTTTATGCATAATGGGATTTGGTGTGTGAGATTGTCTATTTCTTTGACTAAACTGTGAATATCCTAAGTACAAAGACCTTCCCCCCCCCCCATTTCTGCTTCCAGAGACCAATGCCTGGCACTGGACTAGATGAGCGAGTTAGCTGATGAGTAAGACCGCCATTCCTGTGAAAAAAGTAGCTGGGTAAATATAAGCATCTGTTTTCTTCTCTGCCGGTACTGGATAGATAAATATTGAACAAACAGTGGCATTTCAGGATGGACCTCAGGATGTGGAGCCCATTGGCCAGTGTGCAGAGCCATCCAAAGAGACAGAAATGAAGAGACAAAGGGATTTTTGAAGAAAGCTAACCTCCATTTGACGGAGGCCAGACAAAGCACCTGCCTCTCTTGGGACCCCAGGGGACCCCTGAATATGTCATCCTTCATTCCTGTCTCCCGAAGGCTGTGCCTCCCAGCCCATTAAAAATGCTAATCTCCAGCTTGGAGTTGGTTTAACAGACCCAGTAGGGAGGAGACAAGCCATCTTCGGATGTTTATTAAGAGCAAAGTCTGTACCAGCTATTTCCCAGCTGCCCCCAATACTGCAATCAGGGAATTCATTCTGTCCCCACTGCTCAGCAGTATATTACATGCAAAAAAGCAGGCACAGCCACTGCAAACCCTCCTCCCCCAGACACACAACTTAACGCATCAGGGCCCATTTGTTTGATGTCAGTTCCTACTGGAATAAGGACTAGGCAGTGGGCCTCATAGCAATTTGGAGCCACAGCTGCGGCCCAACAGCCCAGCCCCAACCCTCATCTCCATCCCTACCCCATAATTTGCTACTGATCTGTCTAGACCCCAGCACAGAGGAATAGGACACGGTTGACCCAGACTCAGCACACATGAGCCTTGATCCCTAGCTTTGGCTTATTAGGAATTCACCACAGTGAACCCAAGCAGCCATCCCGACTGCAGGGAGCCAGCAGCAGCCAGAGAGTGGGCTGAATTCACTCTAAGACAAAGGACTCCCAGTATGAATTTAGAAGCTACCAGGATTGACTGGGAGCTGACAAATAACAGCTGTGTGTGTGTGTGTGTGTGTGTGTGTGTGTGTGTGTGTGTGTGTGAGAGAGAGAGAGAGAGAGAGAGAGAGAGAGAGAGAGAGATGGTGGCCCTGTTTTATAGAAGGGAGATTAAAGACTTTAGGCAGTCTAAATACCAGCATTGAAATAGTTGAGACAGGCAGAGGAAAGATCAGAACAACGCTGTCCATGTGTGGTTCCCAGCCCAAGGCATACCAGAATCTCTTGGGAACAGGGAGACATTAAAAATTCCCAGGTCTAGCATATCAGAAGCTCTGGTCCATGCTATAAAAACCTTCCTCGTGCAGGGGATACTGGCTGCGGCTTGAAGGAGACAGGAGAGTGAGAAACCAGCACTTCTCCGGCCCTCCACACCGACAGCCATCCTACTCCGTTCATGAATTTGCTTCGAGTGAGTTTTAGCCAAACTGGTGAATTCTGCCTCCAGAAAGAAAGGAAGATTGTGAAGAAGGAGTCTGGGCTGGAGCCCTCAAGAGTGCCCAGAAAATGTGGGAGACCCTTTGACTTTCTCAAGCCACGCAACTTGCAGAGAATTGAGCTCTTTGTAATATTGATGACGAAAAGGCAAGAGGGTACCAGATGGGCTTTGGGTGACAGCACGGTCACATTAAGAAAAGGGGAACCAGTAATGCTGACAGCTACCACTGTGATGTGCACTTTATGTGCATGGCCCCTATTCTTTTGCTTCCTGGCAGGGCTGGGGATCAAAATCAAGGCGTTCCTCACGCTAGGCAAGCACTCTAACACTAAACTATATCCTCAGCCCTAACGGGTCCCTTTTAACTTTCCCACAGACCTTTGAGGCGGGCAGCTATATCCTAGTCCATGTGCAAGAACTGATCCCAAACAGCAGGATAGTGTACCCAGGGTAAAGGAAAATGCCAGAAGGAGGTACCAGGCCAGCCCACTATACTTGGGGCATGAAAGGTCATCTGAAAGATCACTCCGAAACAGACAGTTCAAGGGCATTGTGCCAGGGCAACCCTGCAAACCTTTTAGTCTGCCCCAACAGCAATCCACCCTTCTTCGCCCTGTAGGGCCGAGGGTGTCCAAGAGGCAGTAGCCAACAAGGGCAGCGAAGCAGTTGGTCCTGTCCTTCTCTAACCTACCACGAGCTCCAGGAGGAGCTGAGCTCCTGCAGCTAGATCAGGCTTTAGCTGTGTGGCCTCTGACAAGTCACTTACCCTCTCTTTGGCTGAATTTCCTCGCGCACAAAACAGGGACAGTCTTTGTAACTACAGCACAGGCAGTTGTAAGGGTCAGGTCAGCGAGGATTACAATGTGTAATTACACTTTTTCTCACTCCTACCTAAAAAAAGAAAATGTCCTTCCCAGCCTGAACTCTGCCTTCAGAAGCCCTCTCTACCCTTTTAGCATGCTCAAATCTGATCATTCACAACAACCCCAGTCCTGCCTATCCTGGGAGCTTTCTCCTCTCTTGCTCCCTGCCACCCTTGGCTTTCAGCACAAACTCCACAGTCTACAGCAATGCATCTCTTCCATGCCTAGCCAAGCTGCAAGCCCCTGGAGAACACAGCCAGTGCCTCCTATCTCTGTGTGGTTCCCAGCCTGTTCCTTGCTAGGGACACTGGATGATCCATATGGTCACGTTGACTAATCTTTGAGACCAGTGGTCCCCAAAGCTACCAGGTGCTGGTGCTGTTTAAGCTGTCGGCGTAAGCGTCCATACTGCCTGGGTGGTTTAGTCATTGTGGGCTGGGGAAGAAGTGTATCTTTTTAACTAAAATTCAGCAATTCCAGTGGGGTGGGAGTAGTGATGGTTGTCTGGAGTTGAAGGCTTGTCCTACAGTCCCATTAATTAGCTCTCCTGAAGTCCCCCAAGCATCTTGTCTCTCGTCCAGGCCTAGGAATTCACACTCATTTATCCAAAGGCAACATTCATTTTTCACCTCCGCTCCCCACTGTTTCCAGTACTGGTCTGGCTGTATAACGAAGGGACTCTAGCCCATTAGAGTGTGTGGCTCTGGCAGGCCTTGCCCTTCTCTCCCATCTCTCTGCCTTGCTAAAAACCACTAGATTATGTTCTTAAAGCTAGCCCCCCAAGATCTATTTCCATATTTATCCAATTCCTCCTCCTGAGACTGACTATCAGGGTCCAGCTATCAGAGTATTGAAGCAGTCAAAAGCCCCCTTTGGTTAACATACCCAATTAAAATTAAACATTTCATCCTAACACAGGTTTCCCATTTTACCTTTATAATCTGCCATTTTTCTATGGACCACATCTGTCTCCTCTCTGTCCAGAGTCAGTCCTTTGTTTTTCTGGGGCAAATAGCCCTTACCCTTCTCCCTTGCCCTCTTTCTCCCCTCTCCCTTGTTACCTTCCCTGTCTTCCTCATTCTCTATCTCCTGTCTTTGTCTCTTATCCCTACTCTTTGCCCTCTGGACAAATAAATCTCCGTTATGCTGAAAACTTGGTCTTAGAGGTTGATGTGGGAGTCCCCTCTGTGTGCTGTGATTACCATTAATGAATAAAGAAACTGCCT